GAAAACCGACAACAGCTGTGAAGAAAATTCGTGCAATACGACTAGTTGTACGGACCTAGCTCGAGTAGCAGACCGAGTGCAGACATCTAGATGCTTCAGACGAACGCGCATGATGATTCTGAATCGATTACGTGGGCGTAGAAGCAATGTAGTTGTCCTACAGTTCGAGTAAAGTACAGAAAACCGAGAGCATTTGCCAACAAATTTCGTAGAATACAAATAGTTTCGCGGACCTAGCCTAGCTCGAGTAGTCGACCAAGTTCAAACCTCTAGATGCTTCAGATGAACGCGTCTGATGATTCTGAATCGGTTATGTGGGCGAACCAGCTCTGTAGCTCTCTACAGCTCGAGTTAAGTACCGAAGATCGACAGCATCAGTCAAGAAAACCGGTACAATACGAACAGTTTCGACCTGGTCGGCTTTGCTCAGGCCTGCTGGGTTTTGCTCGGGCTCTTCGAGCTTGTTTTGGCCAGCGCTTGGACCTATCGAGCCGGCTTCGCCATGTCGGGCCTGCTTGGGACCGTGTGCCCCGCAGACCTGTCGAGCATTATGAGTGTCTTCCACTGCTCCAGCACGCCCAGCTACTTAAACATTTAGAAGACGGGGTTCCATGTCTGCGGCCAATGAGCACATTATACGCGTTCGCAAACAATGCAGGCAGACAGGTTCTCTCTCACAAGCGAATTGAACGTTCAACTATCTTTTTAGAGCTTGTGGTTATTTTTGATGCTATGTTTGCTCAGATTATTGATTTGTGTGCACAAATTGGGTGTGTGCTCGAAATAGAGTGTTTGCTGAGAGAAGTGAGCCGAATAACGAAGTTGTCCAACTCAACAACCCAAGCTGTTTGTATTCAATTTTCCCGGATAGCTCCTTGAGGGCTACAAAGGTTTCTAGACTAGAGGACGGCAGCGCAGGGCAGTCGGGGAGGTATTCCCGGTGCCCGTCAAGGATACCGGCAGCAGGTTGTTTGACGTCGCAGCGCGCCGGCATCCGATGTATTTGTCGTTTCCCTTTCTGCAGTTTTTTTCAAAGTTCCTTGGAAGGTTTAATTCGCCAGACCTTTTGCTTTGTGAGTGGTTAGCCCGATTGTTATTCGCAATGAATCTCTATTCGTTTTTCCTCTCCTCCCCTCTCAGATGAATCTGTGTCTCGAGTAGTGTGGCATTTTCGCGAAGCAAGCTCGTCTGGTTTAGGGCGTTGTTTGCCTCCGATTGTTTACGATTCTTCTAATGAGGATCCCCCAAACAGGGGTGTTTATCCTCGGACTGCTCAAGCTTGAAAATGAGTAGCGAGTTGGTTTGTATGTGTTGTATTATGTTCAGTGCCCATGCGCGTTTGTATAGTGTGTAATAGCTTTGAGGTGTAGGATCCCCGCGATTTAACGAGTTGATCATTTCCTTGAATCTCCCGCGCGCCAAACACAAAACGGTTGCATTTGGCACGCCATGCTTGCAACAGAACGGACGAAGAAAAACAAGATCGTCTGGTCTGAACGTGTACGGTGAGGTAGCTATGTAGCCGAAGGTTGCCACTGTCCAGGACGAGAAAAAGTACGGAGATGCTTCGATTTTCTTCCCTTTCTTCGCTGTTACTGATTCGCGGTTATTGGGTCTTTCTGGGCAGCATCTTGGACGTTGCGGGGCGTTTTCGGGCCGATTTAGGGATATTTTAGATTGGGTTGGGGTCTTTTTTGGTTTTTTAGGCCTGTCTTGGCGTTCCCGTTTTCTCGAACAGTTTATGTGTTTCGCCCCGGAAGGACCCGTTTCGAAAGTCAGCCTCTGGAAATCCGGCAATTAAGGTTTTAGGTTCGTGCAGACTTTTGGAAATTTTCAAAGCAGAGGATTCGCCTGGATCTGGGATTTGGCGGGAGCACTCCGTTCAGTGCTTGCACCACGGTTGGGGAACTCGATGTTTCGGAGGCGCATTGAAAGCCACGAGCGTGATAAGGCAAACACACATCAGATAATGCTCAGTTTGTTCAGTGGTATTGCCTTGGCGGGAACATTTTTGAGAGGCCTTGCTTCTGGCAGTTCCAGGCATTGTTGTTTATCCAGTGTTGCCTTTTCGTTGTGTCGGCCCTGTCCCCGGTAGTCCTTGACTCGATCGTCGGTGGTTCTGGCGTTACCTCCGAATTCTTTAGTTGAGCCTCCTCCCAAAATATTCCCATCCCTGGAGGTGCTTTCCGTTGCCTCGAACTGCGTGGTTCAGCGTTGTTCCCGCTTGTCTCTGGCCTTGGTGTTGTCAGCCTGTTCCCGACTTTGCTTTGCCTTGGTGCCCCCCTCAGTGGCCACCGAGTTGTCCATTCGGGCGAAGAGAACTATGCACATGCACCGATCCTGGCAAGGCCCATTTTTGACCCAGGATCGGTGCATATGCCTTCCTGGCCAAGGTAGGAGGGCGTATGCACCGATCCTGGGCTCAGGATGGGCCTGGCCAGAATCGGTGCATGTGCATAGTTCTCTTCCCTCTATCCATGCAGGTCCATTCTGTTGGCTCAGCCTTGTCCGCGGCAGTTCCAGGCGTTCGTGCTGCCCTCCAGTGCTGCCGTGTCGTTGAGTTGGCCTTGCGCCCGACCGTCCCTGTTCCTGGTGCTGCCGCCTGTTGCTGCAAATGTCTTTGGCGCGGTCTCGTCCGAGACTGTCCCTGGCCCTGGTGCTGCATACCTTCTGCTACTTCGGGTTTCTTCGGTGCAGCCTTGTCCCCCAATGTCCCTGGCCCTGGTGCTGCCTTCCGTCCCCACGTTATTTTTCGGCTCGGCCTTGCACTCGCCAACTCCTGCCCCATTGTGCTGCCTTCTTGTGCCACCGAACGCGTTTGTTCAGTCGTGTCCACGACGCTTCCCGGCCTAGGTGCTGTCCTCCGCTGCTATCCTATGCAGTTCGAGGCATTCGTGCTGTCTTCCATTGCTGCCGTTACGTTGGCTCGGCCTTGTGGACCCTGGTGCTGCGTTCCATAGCCACTAATTTCTGCGGCTCGGCCTTGTTCTCGACCGTACCTGGGCTTTGTGCTGCTGCCGTCCGTTGCCACAGACGCATTTGTTTGGTTGGGTCCGTGGCTGTCCCTGGTGTTGGTGCTGCCTTCCGCTGTCAACGCTTGCGTTGGTTCGGCCTCATTTTGTTCAGTTTTAGGCGTTAGTGCAGCCTTTCAGTGCTGCCGATCTGTTGGTTCGGCCTTGTCCCCCCGCTGTCCCCGACCCTGGTGCTGCTTTCCGTCGCCACGAATTTCTTAGGCTCGGCCTTGTCTTGGCCCTGGTGATTGTCTCCGTTGCCACCCGCCGCGTTCGTTTGGGCTTGTCCACGCCAGTCTCTGTCGTTGGCGTTGCCCTTAATGACAGTTGTATTGGTTAGGCCTTGTCCCTGGCAGTCCCAGGCGTTACTGCTTGCCCATCCGGCCCATCCGTGGCTGCCGTTTCGTTCGCTCTGCCCTGTCCCCAGCAATCTCCGATCTTCGTTGCTGCCCTCATTTGCCACCAATCTCTCTGGCTCGGCCTTGTTCTCGACTGCCCTGGGTCTTGTTGCTACTTTCTGGTGCAGTGTTTTCTTGTTGTTGGTAGTTTGGCACTGTTCTTTGATGCCTCGAGCTTTGATGTGTTTTCTCTAACTGTTTGGGGCGGACGAGCGGGTCTGACGCCGATCTTGACCATGTTCCACGCTGGCCGTCGCCCATTCAAGAGGGTGACCCAATAATATAACGATGTCCAAGATGGCTGATTACCACGATCGGCATCGACGTTTCCGCGTTCAGTTTCGATCAGGGTCCTCGTTGTCTTTCCTCGGTCCAATTACTGCTCAGCGGCTGCCCTTCGCATCTAGCTCCCCCCCCTGGAGCCATGTAGCCCTGCGCGGCCCCCGTGGCGCTGTCGCGCGAGCTGTTAACGCCGCGCCCATGGAGCATCGGGTCACTGGCGGTGGTCATGCCCTCAGCTTCCCGGGCGGGCCGTCGGATAGATCTGCGACCACCTGCGTACACTGATCCTACGGGTCCAGTCGACGCGAATGCATCGGACAGCCTGCTGCAGGCATCCTTCCCGTTCTGACCTCCCGCTGGTTTTTCAGACGTCAGGGCTCACAAGTGGCTGCCACGTGGAGAGGGAGGAGAAATGCCAGTGGGCCACTATGTTCCGTTCGTCTTGTCCCCTGCGCGTGCTCCCCCTTGCGCTTTCCAAGCGTTCTCTGCCCTCTTGGGCGCCGTCTGCGTGGGCTCTGCAGTTTCTGGAGCCCTCCAGATTCAGCTCCGTCGTGTGAGAAATCAAGGGGGAACATCAGGCAGGCCCAGGCTGACGACAAGCCGTTCAAGAGCGTTCCAGAATACTCTCGTATCTTTCTGGGCTGCACTGGAAGGGCCGCGGCGCGTGGTTCACGCTCCAGACTCGCCGGCTGTGAGAGATTCCCGCTTTACCTAATGTCGATGTTGTCTTCATCTTGCGTCGTCATGGAAGGGGAGTGGCGGGCAGGGGGAGTTCGGATTGAAGGGGGCGTGCCGTGCCACTCCACGCCAGGCCACGCCACGCGCAGCTCTACGCTTGACGCGTGTCGCTCGTGTTGTCTGTTTCGGGACATGTGCTTCTCTACGCCGTGCCTCCAAGGTCAGGGACCCTCTTTCCTATTCGCCTCTTCCTCTCGTTCCTCCTCTTTTTCCCCCACCTCTCCTTTTCCCCTTCGTCTTACCATTCCTCCATCACCTTCCTCATCCTCCTCATGTACTTCTTCTGTTGTTTCTTGTTTTGAACGCCGTTGAGCGTGACGCAGGATCGACTCGGCGAAGATCTCGCGATGTACAGTTGGTCGAGGCACACGAGGCCACCTCGAGCAGGGGGCTAGCTTCGTTTCTCCTCCTGGCTCCTTTTTTCCCTTCTGCCTTCCCTCCCGTCGCGATCCTTGGCCGAGATATCTGCCCCCTCTCGAGTCTTCGGGCTCGGGGTCCTCGAAGTGTTCGAAGTCCCCGAGCTCCTCTCGATCCTGCCTCCCCCTCCGCCCCCGCCCCCGCGGAGACCGAGGCGCCAGCCCTGGGCGGAGCGCGAGACCAGGGCGGCGCAACGTCCCCCCCCCTCCCCCTCCCCCTCCCCCGCCCCCGCCGAGACGGCGCCTGGCCGGCGCCGTGCGCTGGAGCGTCGAGCCAGCAGTGGTCGTCGTCGTCGTCGTCGTCGTCGTCGTCGTCGTCGTCGTCGTCGCCGTCGCCGTCGCCGTCGCCGTCGCCTTCGCCGTCGCCGTCGCCGTCGTCGTCGTCGTCGTCGCCGTCGTCGTCGTCGTCGTCGTCGTCGTCGTCGTCGTCGTCGTCGCCGTCGTCGTCGGGGGCGGCCACTCTACGCCCATGATCGGGGGAGGGAGGATACTAGTATTCACATAGTGTAACTAATGAGGTCAGGCCAGGTCAAGTCAGGTCAGGCAGTCTGCGATAAGCTCTAGGTGAGAAAACAGCCAGGAGGGTGAAGCAGTTGAACGAGGAGGAGGAGGACGAGGAGGAGGAGGACGAGGAGGAGGAGGAGGAGGAGGAGGAGGAGGAGGAGGAGACGGATGGAAGGAGAGGAGGGGAGATGACGCGGAGGGGAACTGGAGGCAGAAGCGGGGTCCCGTGCTGGGGTCCGCAGAGTATTGTCCTGGGGCCTTCCCTTGGTTTTGGGGGACTCTGTGGGTGGCCCTCACAGGGGGGCTGGCCCTTCCCGCCAGGCTGCAGGCCCCGCGCGTACTTCGTCGTCGCCCGCTGGGCGTCGCGTAGTGGGGGGCGATGAATGGTGGGGCAGCGAGGGCTGCAGAGAAGGGGCCCTGTGGGGCCTCTGAAAGGGGCCCTGCAGCTCCCGCAAGGAAGCATTTCGGGCCCGAGAAGTGCACGCGTCTCCCTCCCCCCTCATTTATCGCCCCGCCATGTACTCACGCCCGAGCCCGCCTGCCTTTCCCTTTCGCTCTCCCTCCCGTCGCTGGCAGCGCAGGCTGCTGGGAGCCTGCGGTGCGGCGAGGATTGCCCCGGGCGGCGGGGGGGTCCGCAGGTCCCGATTTTCGGCGCGGGGCCCTGTTGGGCCCCGGTTGGGCCCCTCTTGGCGCCCTCCTGGGCCTTCTCGGGGTCATGCTGAGGCCACGCAGGCCGATCAGAAGCCGACGAGGCGAGATGGCGACAAACCCTGCAGGGCCGCAGCTCTTCGGTGGTCGCGTTTTTCCGGGGGCATCCTCGAGGAGGGTCGGGGGCCACCTCGGGGAACTGTTCGCGCATATTTCTCTGCTCCCTTAGGAGGTATGCCGGAGGCCATGCAGGCCAACTTGTGCAATTGGATCTTGGGATATTTGTGATCATCTTGGACCATCCTCGACGTTCCGGCCCCTTGCGATCCCTTCAGTCCAGACCACTGCGGTACGCGGGGGGAAGTTGGAGGAGTTATACCCCGTGCCGAGGGGAAACAAGGGAGTGTCTTGGAAGGCATTGTGTTGTTGACTACCGGCTCCCAGAGGGCTGGTAGGATTGAGTTGGGTCATGGCCCCGGAGTCTAGTACCCGATCCAGGGACCAACGTGTGCTCACGATCCATCAATAGAGCCTTCGTCAGGCACGCCCACGGCCCAGTTCGACCGCCGTCTTTCGGATGCGGCGTGATGAAACGAGACCAGAGCGAGGGGGAGGGAGGGAGATGAAGGGAGGGAAGGAGAGGGGAAGAAGTGAGAAGGGACGTGGGGGAGGGGGAGGGGGAGGAAGGCGAGGATGAGGAGAGGTGGGCGGAACCCAGACCTGCGACGACTTGCTCGACTTCCGTTCTCTCGAACCCTTCCCCGTTTTCTGACGACCCTGGGGCCCGAAAGCGCCCCGCCCCCCACCGAAAATGCAGACCCCAAAGCCGAAGGTGGATGAAAACTTCGGATTCTATGTTCTCGAGTCTGTGGAGGTCTGGGTCTGGGGGTCAAAGATCCCTCCCTAGACCCATCCTTGTTTACGTGTATGTGTGTGTGTGTGTGTGCGTGTGCGTGTGCAGGCCCAGCCAATTAGCCATTCGGTTGCCCCGAATTGCCACACGCTGGAGCGGACAGCCTTTGCCTCGCCGCCGACGGGAAAGGTGTGGTGTGTGTGTGTGTGCTGACGTGAATGTCGACGCGGATTCAACTGTGGTGACGAGGGCGATCCCGCAGGCCCAAAAGGCGTACAGAAGCGCTTCAAGTTTTGGACCTCTGGTGAAGGAGGATCGGAAGGATGAGGAGGAGGAGAAGGAGGGGATGATGATGATGATGATGATGATGATGATGATGATGGTGATGGTGGTGATGGTGATGGTGGTGATTGTGATTTATGCTGTCATGACTATGATGAGGTGGAGGATGATGATGCTCATGATGATGCTGCTGCTGATGATAATGATACTGATGATGACGGTGACGGGGATGATGCAAATGATGATGATGCTTCTGATGATTACGATGGCGATGATGACAATGATGATGTTGTTGATCATGATGATATTGTGGTTGTTGTTGGTGATGATGACGAGGATGGTGGTGGTGGTGATGAAACTGTGATGATGATGATGATGATGATGGTTGTGGTGGTTATGGTGGTGATCATGATGATGATGATGATGATGATGATGATGATGATGATGATGATCGTGATTCTGATGACGTTGATGGTTATGATGATGATGCTTCGGATGATGATGGTGGTGGCGTTGGTGGTGCTGATGAAGATGATGATGATGATGATGATGATGATGATGATGATGATGATGATCATGATGATGATTATGATGATGATGATGATGATGATGATGATGATGATGATGATGAGTGTGATGATGACTATGATGATTATGATGATTATGATGATGATGATGATGATGCTGATGATGATGATGATGATGATGATGATGATGATGATGATGATGATGATGATGATGATGATGATGATGATGATGATGATGATGATGATGTTGATGATGGTGATGATGATGATGAAGAAGAAGAAGAAGAGGGCGATGGGCATGAGGACGAGGACGAGGAGGAGGAGGAGGAAGAGGAATAGGGGGAGAAGGAGGTGGACGAATGGGAGGAGGAGGCGGAGGAGGTGGACGGGGAGGAGGAGGAATGGGGGGGATGAGGAGGACGAGGATGAGAAGGAGGAGGAGGAGGAGGGGGGATGGGGGGGAGGGGGAGGAGAGTCGGATGACGAAGGAAGGCGAAGGGGCCCGAGCAAGCCAGGCATCCAGACTTGGAGGCCGGCGCTGGCGCCGGGGCGGCGCGTGCGCCGCGGGTGCCGCCGTCACCCGCGGCAAAGGTGCCGATGGCAAAGGCGCCTGGGGCTTCGAGGGGATCGAGGGGATCGAGAGCTTCGAAGGCTTGGGGGACCGAGGACATCGAGGGGATCGAGGACTTCGAGGGGATCAAGGATCGAGTGGATCGAGAGGATCGAGGGGATCGAGGGGATCGATGGGATCGACGGTCGGGGGGCGCCTGTCTCTGGCGGCAAAGGTGCCGATGGCAAATGCGCCTGGGGCTGCGTACAGTCCAAACTCATGGCGAGGTCGAGCAGCTTTCCGAGGGTGCCCGTGCGTCCTTGCCCGTTCTCGAAGGAGACAAAACGGCACAAGCATAAATTTTCGACGGTCCAGGCGGATTTCTTGGATCTGCGCTGGACCCCCGTGGCAGCGCCTCCGGCGCTGCCCCCAGCGCGCTCCGCGAGCCAAGGAGGGGGGTCCAGCGCAGATCCAAGAAATCCGCGCTGAGCTCCGAAATCCTCACAGCAGCAATTTTTTGGAAAGCGCCACATAGGGATTCTATGAGAAAGCGTCACAACCGTTTTTTGTTGTTTTTTTTTGAGGGGGGGGGGAAAGCGCAACGAATGGATTTCTATTGGAAAGCCTCACAACAAGAGTCCGTTGGAAAGCGCCACAAAGGGATCTCTATTGGAAAGCCTCACATCAGGAGTCCTTTGGAAAGCACCACAAAGGGATTCTACTGGAAAACCTCGCAACAGGAATCTTTCGGAAAGCGCCAGAGAGGGATTCTATTTGAAGACCTCACAACAGCAGTCCTTTGGAAAGCGCCACGAAGGAATTCTATTGGAAAGCGTCACAATCGGAATTTTTTGGAAACCACAGCACAGGGATTCTATGGGAAAGCCTCACAACAGGAATCCAGTGGAAAGCGACACGAAGGGCTTTCTATGGAAAGCCTCACAACAGGAGTCCTTTGGAAAACAATAGAAGTCGATTCTATGGGATTGCCTTACAGCAGGAATCCTTTGGAAAGCACCACACAAGAATTCGATTGGAAGGCCTTATATCAGGAATCTTTTGGGAAGCACCACAAAGGGATTCTGGAAACGCCACGAAGGGATTCTATTGGAAAGCCTCACAGCAGGAATCTTTTGGAACACAGCACGCATGATTTCTGTTGGAAAGCATCACATCAGGAATCTTCGGAAAGCTCTTTACAAGGATTCTATTGGAAAGCCTCACAGCAGGAATTTGTTGGAAGACGCCACACAGGGATTTTATTTGGAAGCCTCACAACAACAATCCTTTGGAAAGTGCCACACAAGGATTCTATTAGAAAACGTCACAATCGGATTTTTTTGAAAGCGCAACGAAAGGATTCTATTGGAAAGCATTTCAAGAGGAATCGTCTGGAAAGCGCCACAAAGGAATCTCTGTTAGAACGCCTCACATCAGGAATCTTGTGGGAAACGTCATAAGATGGATTCTGCTGCAAAGCCTAACAACAGGAATCCTTTGGAAAGCGCCACAAAGGAATGTCTATTTACAAGCCTCTCTTGGAAAGCACCACACAGGGATTCTATTGGAAAGCCTCACATCAGGAATCCTTTGGAAAGCATCACGAAGGGATTTTAGTGGAAAACCTCGCAACAGGAATCATTTGGAAAGCACCACAAAGGGATTCGACTGGAGAGCCTAACATTCGGAATCCTTTGGAACGTACCACGAAAGGATTCGATTGGAACGCCGATTGGAGAGCGGGAGAGAGAGAGAGAGAGAGAGAGAGAGAGAGAGAGAGAGAAGGAGGGAAGAGGGGGGGAGGAGGGTATTGAAAAACGTTCTGTGTTTCCAGCTTTTCCAACTCTGCCTAGAGAGTAACCAATTGAACAATAGTGTGTGTTTCCAGCTTTTCCGGTTTTTCCCAGAGACTGCCATATTGAAACGCGCTGTGTTTTCCGGCTGTTCCAGCTTTTCCCAGAAACAGCTCCATTGAAAAACGTTGTTTGTCCAGCGTTTCCAGCTTTTCCAGATTATCCCAGAGACTGCCCCACTGCAAAACGTTGTGTTTTCAAGCTTCTCCAGCTTGTTCAGTTTTCCCAGAGACCACCCCATCGGGAAGCCATGTGTTTTCCGGCTTTTCCAGCTTTTCCAGCTTTTCCCAGAGATTACCCCCCATTGAAAAATGATAGGGTTTCCAGCTTTTCCAGCTTGTCAAGTTTCTCCCAGAGAGAACCCCATTGAAGAAACATACGTATATGGATATATATATATATATATATATATATATATATATATATATGTTTCCAGCTTTACCAGCTGTCCCCAGGGAGAATTTCACGGGGTGTAGTTTCCGGGGAAGGCTGGAAAAGCTGGAAAAGTCGGAAAACACAGCGCTTCTCAAAGGGGTAATCAGAGAGCGAGAGAGAGAGAAAGAGAAAGAGGGAGAAAGAGAGAGAGAGAGAGAGAGACAGAGAGAAGACGGAGAAGAAGCAGTCGAGGATGAGGAGGAATGTGTATGATCACAGGCGAATGCTCTGATACTGGGTGGGGAGGGAAGGGGCGACTACATATGTGTATATCTTTATGTATGGATATACACATACACATAGAGATATACATATACATACATATACTATATATACATATATGCATATACGCATACATGTCAACAAGCTGCGTTTTTTGGGTGTGTTCGGGTTTCGAGGGCGGTTTTCAGGCCAGGGTTGTTCAGAAAACGAATCCACCTCCGCTGTCTTCTCATCTTTCATCCCATGGTTCTTCATCGCTCTTTTCCTCCTCAGCTCCACAGCCCTCTTCCTGTTCCACTTCGCGAACCTGTCGTCCCCCATCCGATCTCCCTTCTCTCGGGGGCGGAAAAGAGGGGGGTGCTGACTAGGGGGGGGTGGATATGATGGCGCCGGCCATGAGATCTCCGCAGATTTCATGGCGCCTCTTCTTATTTCATTACGTCCCAGGCCGCCCCGCTGGGCCGCGCACGTGCCGCCGGTCATGATTTGCACCCCCCCCTCTTGGACACCCCCCTCTTGGCCGCTCCCGATTCTCCGATCAAGCGCATTCTCAGGCATCGAAAGCCGGGGTCGTGCGCCCGGGGAGAATCGTCAACTAATCCACATCAATCGGCGGCGAGCGAGGGGGGAAATGATAAGGAGAAAGCCTTCTCAGAAGGTTCGGGAGTCCCCCGGCCTTCCGAGAAGTTTTCTCAGCTTTCCCCGGTGACGAACTTTTGGTCGGCGGGTCGGGAGCGGGCCCCTTCCGCCCCGGTGACAAGCAAACACTTCTCAAAAAAGGCGCAAGGTCTTCTGAGAAGTCCCGCCGCCTTCTGAAAAAGGCTTTCTCCCTCTCATTCCCCCCCCTCGCTCGCGGTCGAAAAAGTTAGCCTTAAGTCGGGCCTATCCCCCTACAGGGGGATTTTCGACGAAAAAAAGATACCCCAAAGATAATCAACAAATAGTCCAAACATAGTTGTGGGACTATTTTTTGAATATTTCTGGACCTTTTTTGAGTATTTATTGGGGTATTTTTTCTTTTTCGTCGAAAATCTCCCTGTAGGGGGACAGGCCCGACTCAAAGTTAGCCCACGGCCAACTGCTGTTCGTTATACAAGCCCCGCACTTGTGGATAGGAGGGATGGCGCCCGTGCTGCCTAGGAGTAGGAGTAGGAGTAGGAGTAGGAGTAGGAGTCAAGCTAGCCAGCTCGAGCGAGTCAAGCATGGCATGCCCAGTCCCACCCGCCCTCCCACAACATAAGAAGCAAAGCTGGCACAACTGGGGGCCGAAGTCACACCGGCCAGCCGGTTTGGTACAGCTGATGCGGCCGCGATGGCGGTTGCCGACGGGAACTGGCGAGCGCGTGTTGAATGCCGCGCACGCATTGCCAGACGAGTCGAGAATGGCCCGGTACACCGCAGGAAGCCAGAGACGGAGGAGGAAAAACGTTGGTGCGCGGCGCCGAGGCGAGAGCGACATGTCACCCCTTCGCGCGGGGTGTGCGCCGCGTCCCATTCCTGCCACGCATTTTGCGACGTGACGACAGCACGACCATGTTGACAAGAAAAACAAAAACTGTGTATTGTCTTTTGCAGATTAGAATGGGACGGATTGGATGGGCGGGCGCGGGGTGTGCGCCGCGTCCCATTCCTGCCATGCATTTTGCGACGTGGACGACAGGACGTCCATGCGACGGTGCCAATGACGGCGACGACTCTAGAAGGATTTGAGCATGCGCTCGCGGCGACGCGCGCGCATGTCGCCCGCGTGGTATTTTTTGCACAGGATTCGCGGCCTGGGTGCATGACAGAGCATCGCGAGTGCACCGCGCGATGACGTGAAATCGCTGGATTTGACCGAATTCTTAAGATTCCTATGGAAATTTTACAATTTTTTGTGAAAAAGCATTGGGTTTTTGATGTTTTTATGTTGAAATGCTTGCAAACACACGGTGTTCGGTAGGATTCTGACATGAACGCGCGCGTGTGCTCTTTGTGGTATTTTTTGCAATGGTTTATCGCCGTGGACGACAGGACGTCCATGTCGAGAGGAACAAATAAGAACAACATTGATTTTGTATTGTTTTTTACAGGTTAGGATGGGACCACCCGGATGGGGCCCCTATCTGCCGGCCTGAGGGGGGAGTAGGAGTAGATTCTAATAAGGAATAAGGATAGGAGGAGGAGGAGGAGGAGGAGGAGGAGGAGGAGGAGGAGAAGGAGGAGGAGGAGGAGGAGGAGGAGGAATAATAATAACAATAATCATCTCAAGAGTATAATACAATACCAGTATCAATACCATCTAGAAAACTGGAATACTACGAATAGTAATATTATTATTCCTTATTATTCATAATATTACCAACTCTAATATTCATAAGGATAATGAAACTAACAAACATACTACGTCTACTAATATTAGCACGAACACTAGTATTAGTACACATACGAAGATTACGACTACGATAGTACGACTACTAAGAATGTCAATAAACTATTCGTATAACACATCATAGCCATACTATTAAGACGCACATTATCTCCAGTCATCATAGTAATGCTACGGA